AACAGCAAGACCCTGAGATCTGAAATGGGGTCAGTTTGGTGGAGTTTGATCAATCTGAGAACCCTGATCTCACAAAACTCACTGAGCCTTCCCTGTCTAAGACGCACTCCCCCTCCCCAATATGAGGCTAATCTCTACTTGACTGAAGACCCTGTGTAATGTTACCTGGAATCTTGCAAGGAAATGCAGATTCTCTTCATGCCTAACCTTCAAGCAGCCCTCACTGCCTCTAAACCTCCAACTGAATCATATTTCCCAGGGGAACAGGCACCAGATGTGAACAAGCAGGAGCCAGTCTATAGTCCAAAAGAACTACAGGCACCCCTCGTTTTACTGCGGCAGTTTATAGTCCAAAAGAACTACAGGCACCCCTCGTTTTACTGCGCTTTGTTTTACTGCACTTTGCAGATATTGTGCTTTTAACAAATTGAAGTTTTGTGGCAACAAGTCAAGCAAGTCTTTCAGCACCATTTTTCCAACAGCATTTGCTCACTTTGCATCTGTCAAATTTTGGTAATTCCTGCAATATTTCAAACCCTCCACCAGCAAAAAGACTGACTTGCTAAAGGCTCGGATGATATTTAGCATTTTTTAACAATAAAGTATCTTTAAATTAAGGTACATTCATTGTTTTTTAGACACAATGCTACTGCACACTTAACAGACTACATTATAATGTAGACGTAACTTTTATACACACTGAAAAACCAAAAAATTCATGTGATTCGCTTTACTGTGGTGGTGCAGAAATGAACTGATGTCTCTGAGGTGTGCCTATGTGGACCTGTGGAAGACTTTAAGAATTTTAAAGACAAACATAACTTTAGATAAGACATAAGTTATCAAAAGAAATACACCTACTGAAGATTATTCTTTATTTATTTTACTATTTCAAGATGCTACATGTGGTTATAACAATTTGCTCAGTTAACTGACTGGAATCTGGACTCAGTGACAGCCTATGTTTAAAAAAATTGGAACTCTTGCTGATTAAGAACAGATTAATGAAAACAAATATATGTATGTATATGAATGACTGAAACACTGTGCTGTAAACGAGAAATTGACACATTGTAACTGTACTTCTATTTAAAAAAAAAGAGACAAACCATAAAAAAAGATTACACAGCAAACACAACATAGCAATAGAAACTAACTGAACTGAAGCAGAGGGATGGAGGGAGAAAAAGCTGAGAAAGATAATGAACAGAGCCTCAGTGACTTAGTGTACAATAACAAATGGCTAAACGTCTGCGTAATGGCAGGTATGGGGCAGTAATTCTGAAAAAATACATAATGAATGATAATGTTCCAAATTTGACAAACTCTAGAACCCCACAAATCCACGAAGCTCAAAGAACGCTGAGAAGAGTAAGCATAAAGAAAACCCTACTCTAAGGAACATCACAGTCAAATTAAATTTGATTGAGTGAAAGATACAGCGAAAATCTTAAAACCAGCCACAAAAAAAGGACACGTGATACAGGAGAGGAATAAATATAAGAATATTCAAACATTTATTTATAAGAATAATGGAGGGCAGAAGACACGGAATGACATCTTTAAAACGTTTAAAGGAAAAACAAAAATAAAACAAGACTGTCGATCTAGAATTCTATATCCAGCAAAAATATCTTTAGAAAATGAGGGTAAAATACTTTGCAGACAGAAAAATAAATTCAAGGCCAAATCTCTGGCAATTTTAGGCACGATAAGTATCTTCTCTAATTCTCTTATTTGTCTTTGGCTAAAAAAAAAAAAATCTTCAATTTTTATCTAATCTAAGTCATTACTTTTTCACCTAAGTTTTAGGAGCTTTAAGAAGTAAAGAGCTTCTTCAACATTGTCTTCCATTAATCTTATAACTTCTCCTTTCACATTTAGATCTTTAATTAGCCATAGTTCATCCTACCTGTGGTGGTGTTTGTTTTTTCTCCACACACTGAGCTACTCTTCCCAGCAACACGACCTTTTCTCTGGTGATTTACGATGCCACCTTTATCTTAAATTCCTGAACATATATAGACATTAAGTCTCTGCTCTCCAATTTGTTCCCCTCAGACTATTTTTATGTCCTTGCACTTACACTGGTTTTCATTACTATAGTCTTGAAACAGTATCTTAACTTCTGAGAAGCAACTCCCCACCAAAGCAAATCTTTAAGACTGATTTATCTATTCACAAACCTTATCCCACCTGCCATATACATTTTAGATCTCAGTTACTGAGTTTGTCAGACAAACCAACTGGAATTTTGATGGTAGTTTAATCAAATTTATAGATTAAAATGGAGACAACTGACATCCTTATGACAATAAGTAATCTTATATCCCATTTACTTCTAGCTCCTTATTAAAATTTTCTCCTTAAAGATCTTATGTATTCTCAGGTTAATTCCTAGAGACTATAGTTTTGTTGCTATTATTGTATACAATACTTACTGTTGATTACTTTTATTAGCTGGTTATTGCTTAGTGTAGCAAATGCCACTAATTTTTGTATCTTAAATCCAGTAACTCTGCTAAACTCTAACTAGTTCTAGTAGTTTCTCTCTTCTCATTGTTCTTCTAGGTAAGTGATCTTATCTGCAAATAATGAGTTTTATTACTTTCCCTTCTGTCCTTATACTTTTTATTTTTTCCCTCTGGAGTGTGAGTCATGTTAAAACAGTAACAGGGATAGAGAGCACCTTTATCATGTTCCTAATCTTAAAATAAATGTATCTAAGATATATCTGTTAGGTATTAACTATTTGCTGTAGATTTTTGGTAGTGACCATTATCTAGTTATCTTGTATTCCAAGCTTGCTAAGAGTTTTTATCAGGCGGGAGGGTATAGCTTAGTGGTAGAGCACATGCTTAACGTGTATGAGGTCCTGGTACCCAGTACCTCCACAAGCAAACAAACAAACAAATTTAACTGCACCCCCTTCCCCAGAAAAAAGAAAAGAGCTTTTATCATACACGGGTGCTGGATCTTATCAAATGATTTTATGATATCAAAATAATGATAATTTTTCTCCTTGAGTCTATTAATGAGACAAATTACATTAACAGATAAACAGATGATAAACCACATTTACATTCCTAAAAGAAGCTCTACAGATTATGATTCTTTTAACACACTGTTGGATTTGATGAGCTAGTATTTTGTGTAGGATATTTATATTTATGTTAATACTGAAACGTGTTATTTTCTCATACTGATCTTACCTAGTTTTGGAATCAAGATTTCAATAACTTCATAAAAAGAGCTTGGGACCTCTCTTTTTTCGTTCCCTATTTCCCAAAACAACTTGTAAAAAGGAACAATTATTTAAAAGTTCACTGCAACTCATAAGATTATCTCCATCCAGAGTTTTTGAAAGGGGAGGTTTTACTATTTCAGTTTGTTAAATATATATTAGTCAGCTTAAACTATTTCTTCTGATACCAACTTTCATAGTTTCTGGTTTCCCAAGAATTTATACATTTCCTCTGCGTTTTCAAATTTATAAATCTATAGCAATTCATAAAATTCTTTTTTAAACATATCACGTTTGTAGTTATTTCCCATTTATCACTTATTTTATTTGCATCTTTTTTTAATCAGAGGTCTGTTTAACATATTAATCTTCATAAAACAATCTTTTGGTTTGGCAAATCTTTCTTTTGTTCCTAATTTTACTGATTTCTGCTCTTATCTGTATGCTGTCTTTCTGAACTCTTCAAATGAACTTTGTTGAACCACTAAAGCAAGCTTCCTTCAGCATTTAGAGAAGTCACCCTGCCACTCCGTCTCATGTTTGGTTTCACTAAGTAGACTTCAAAACACACACAATATAAACATTATTCTCATGTATGCAAAATAAGGGAAAAAAAACCCACACAATTCTCACCAACCATACCCACATATGAATGTCTCTGACTAAAGCAGTATCTTGAAACAAGTAAGGTTATGTGCTTATTCCCCCCCAAAAAAAACTTTTGTAAAGCTAAGACTACATATCTGAACCAAGGGAAATATTTTCTCTTCACAGCTAATTGGACAATTACTGGCACAGCTTGATAAAATTAGTAACTAGAAATGAAATCTCCAGTTGCTTTACCAGATGCCATTCAAAAACTTGCAGTTATTAATAGGAGAGAAAAATCTGGCTGTGACGGTCAATTTTCACCACCACCAGCCCCCCAAAAACCCACTTAAAGCAAAAGCACTTTTTTCCCCTGTGGAAGCATACATCCTGGATGGGAACAGTTTCAGTTACAAAACAGATTTTGGTCTTAAATCTTTCTGCCTGCCATTGAATGCTTTAAGGCAGATCACTAACATGAAGTTCAACATTCAACAGAACCTTGGATTTGGACACATATGGAATGGCTTATTCTTACGAGTGTAGGCTTCGTAAAGTAATTTTACACATTATTAGCTTCAAAACGGAGGTCGCAGCTCCCACTGTACTGGTGTTACTCAGGAAGGTTAACATATCTCCCTGTCAGGATGCAGAAGGCGTACACTGGAGAAGGGAAAGAACCAAGTGTAGATATAGGTCAACTTCCTAATTCCTGACTTGTTTAACGCAGACTGGCTAAGGGAACAAGAACACAAGCTGCCAGATTTCTTTTTTTCTCTAACTGTAAAAAAAACACTGAAGGCCTCTCCCAAACGAAACTCAGGCAGCCTTATTTTCCCTTCACGTTGGAGGGTTAAACTTTAAGGGGGAACGGAGAAGAAAAGAGCTTCCAAGGGTTGAGAGATAGCCAGTTGTGATACGGATCGCGTTTGTAGGAGAACTTGGGGCTGTGTGCGCAACCAGGCTGCTCCTCTGGGCCAGGTAATACAAGAAGCCAGGGCCGCTCCGGCGCTGGCCGCAGACACCAAACGAGGCGGGGGAGGGAGGCGGGGAGGGAAGGGGAGACCCAGGCCTGAAACAAAGGAAGCGGGGCTGGCCGACAAGGGTGGATTCGGCGTCCGGGTTGGGAGGAGAAAAGCCAAGGCTGCTGGGGAAAGGCTGGACTCACAGAACTTGGAGGTGGAGGTGTTGATGTTGATGGTGGAGCTGGGGGTGGGGGCGGGGGCCGCCTTGGCCACGGCGGCGGCCGCGTCGCAGCTCTTCAACATCATGATCACACCATTGGCCTCCGGCGGTGGTGGCGGCCCCATCGGGAGCCCCTCCTTGGGGCCCTTCCTGTCCACGGAGACCGCAGGCATTGCCAGCAGCTGACCCCCCGGAGGCTCTCGGGCAGGGGCCGGGATCGAAGAGGGGGGCGGCGGAGGTGGCGGGGGCTGCCGGAAGCCGTCCACGGCGGCCTCCCAGTTGTTGTGGTTCTGGTCGTCCATCATCGCCTCGTAGCTGCCCCCCTCCTCCTCTTCCATGCTTTCCTCCATCCTGCAGGCCCCCAGCACCCGCCCGCCTCACAGGCACCTGCTGCCCGTCTCAACCCCGGGCAGGGGGGCACCGCAGCCTCCTCGAGCTCACATCGCCGAAGGCCGGAACGGGCGCGGCGGGGAGGGCAGCGAAGCGCCGGGTCTCTCACTCTTCGCAGGGCCGACTCTTAGAGACAGGCTGACGGCGGTGGGCGCTCCCGGGCTCGGGTCTGGGAGAGGCAGCCGTAAAGCCGCAGCGCCCCTCACGACATTTTACAGCAGCTTCCAACAGGCACTTGTAAAGGGCGGCTGGGGGAGCGGCCAGGAGGGCACGTGGTGCGGGGAACCAGCCGCGGGAAAGCTAAGCGAAAAGGGGCGGGAGCTGTGAGCCACCCCGACACAGTAGACTAGAGGTTCGCCCCGCCTCGGCTGGCCCCGGGCTGAGAGGGACTGGGCCGGCGTCCCGAGCAGCTTTCGTCGGCCCCGCCCCCAGCCCGGCCTCACGTGATAAGGGAGTTTGGCTGCGCACGCGCGCTCTCAGTTCGGTTACCAAGACGACGAGGAGCGGACGGGGCTACTGAAGATGCTCCTGAAGGCCAGCGCGCGGTCGATGTGACCCAAGCTCCCTGTCTCGCTGCGGTGTTTTTCTTGAGCTCGCCCAATTTACCCGGACTTAGCACCGCAGAGGGCCTCTCAGCCTCGGTCTTTGGCGACAGAGCTAGGGGGCCACTAGAGGCTCCGCGCCGCACATTATGAACGGGTGGGACCGTCCTGGGTGGCCCTTGAAGGGACTGCATGCTGGCCTCAGCCCACACAACCTAAACCGTCAGAATCGAGAATAACCACCGAAATATCATGGTAGCTAAAATAATACATGTGTTTGAGCTATTCAGGGATTTTTTTTTAAGTTCCTTGACTTCTCCATATACTGAGGCCAGAAATTTTACACTTAAAAATGCCATGCTCCTTGTGCTGTTTCACAAAGCTAACTACGAATTGGAGATTATGTATTAGAGTCTTGAAGGACAAAGAAGAAAGAGTATGTGACTATTATAATTTCTTTGGCCCTCTACATTCTCAAATTATAGTAACAGTAGTGTTTTCTATGAGAATGTATAATTGTTTATTGTGGAGCTCATTCTAGCAACTGGTGATAACAAAGTTGTCTAGAAAAACCATTTATTACATTTAAGCCAGAGATAATGAATCTTTATTTCCACAGATATGTAATTAGTGTGAAGTGAAGTAAAAAAAATCACTTAAGCCACTGGGAAATTGTCTCTGGTATACTTCAGTGTCCACATTTGCTTCAGCTTCTCTACACATTTTCTCAACGTAACTGTGCACTGAATGAACAGTTTTTACCGATCAGTTAATATGATACAATTTCAGACAGTGCTCCCTCATATTAATTAATGGCATGTAATTTTTTGAATCCGCACACGTTTTTAATTCTCTGGGCCTGGAACTATACTAATTATCTGGCCTTGGGGTATTTGGGGGATATGAATAAAAAGAAGAAAAGGTTTTCTCAAGTAAAAGACAATTGAGTGAAATGCTGAGGGGGGAAAAATGTAACCTTAGAATTCTATGCCTAGCAAGAAAAGGATGGAAGAGGAAAGACAAATTATGTTTTTCAGACAAACAACTGATAGTTTGTCATCAATAGATGTTCTAGGTGGTTGAGTGCTGTTATGTGTAACAAGATAAAGAGAGGTCTCCACATAGTAAAAGACTCAATACACAAGGAAGATCTGAGAGTCAAATGTGTGGCTAATAACATGTTCATGAACAATATGAAGCAAGAGTTGACAGAAGTACAAGAAGGAAGAGAAATCTATCATCAGAGTAGGTGATTTTCACATCTCTAATAGGTTGCAGTGGGTTGAATAGTAGCTCCCAAAAAAGATATGTCTATTCATGTCTTAATCCCTGGAACCTGTGAATGTTACTTTATTTGGAAACAGGGTCTTTGCAGATGTAATTAAGTTTAAGATCTTGAGATGAGATCTTCCTAGATTATCCAGGTAGGCCATAAAACCAGTGACAAATGTCCTCATTAGAGAAAGGAGGGAGATTCGAGACAGAAGAGACACAGAAGAGGAGGAAGCAATGTGACTCCAGAGACAGGTATTGGAGCAGTGCTGCCACACTCCCACCCCAAATGCCGACAGCCACACGAAGCTGGACGAAGCAAAGAATGGATTCTCCCCTAGACCCTCCAGAGAGTGGGCAACCCTGCCAGTGCCTTGATTTCAGACTTCTAGCGTCCAGAACTGTGAGAGAATACTTTCTGTTGTTTAAAACCACCATATTTGTGCTAATTTGTTACAGCAGGCACAGGAAACTAATACATAGATCAAAGAGACCAAAAAAATCTTTAAGGGGTTAGAGGATTTGAATAACGCAATTACCATGCTTGATTTAAATGAATACATATAGAACATCACACTCAACTGCAGGATATACAGTCCTTTCAATAATATGTGAAACATTACAAAAATCGAACATACTGGGTCATAAAGCAAGTCTCTTTACATGTCTAAGGATTGGTATCATAGCAACCACATTCTCTGATCACTGTGTAGTTAAATTAGAAATCAATAACCAACAGACAGCTAGTAAATCCCCATATTTCTAGTCTTCCAATCAACTCATGTGTCGGGAAAATCATAATGGAAATTAGGAAATATTTAGAACTAAAGGGATTGGTACTATCACAGTACTGTAACTTCTACCTGTAAGGCCCTATTCCAGAGGTTTTTACCCAGCATACTGGTGACCACTGAACCCTTCCCATGTATACTGCCAAAATGGTCAATATAAGACATTCATTTTAGCTGTAATTGGCTAAACACATCATTATGGAAAAAATCTAACAGTGATTGAGCCAAAGCAGTTGCTGACAGAGTACAACTTGCCATAAATAAGGTGTATCACCTACTGAAGGGAAACAAATGAACATATTGATAACTGGTTGATTTTATGGACACTATGAGATATTTTTATATTACCCTTAAAAGCTTAATATATTTTAATAGATATTAACTTAAAAATCTTTGGTGATTTGTTCCAGGATGTAGAGATGGGGGAAAATATTACTAGCAACCATTGACCCAACACTGGACAGTTATTAACAAAGGTTGAGAATTACTACAGCCTTCCATAGTCTCAGATATTAATCTGTTTGTTTGGCTTTTGGGTTTGTTTGTCTTCATTTCCCACTAGGCTATGAGTTTCATTAAAGCAGGATAATACACACACACACATTTGTAAAATACGTATGTAACTTTGTATATATAAAGAAAAGACATTCAAAACATTAATAGGAGTTATCTAGAGCTCATGAGTTATAGATGGTTTTAATCTTCTCTATTTCTGTCAGTCTTTTTTATATTCTCTACAGTGAGCATGTATTATTTTTATAATCAGAAAAATATTCCTAACCTTAAAGATTAAAAAATAAAAACAACATTAAAAAAGTAAACTGGGATTCTGTATATTAAATTTTATTTTGGCTTCCAGAAAGAGAAATCTCCAGTAAAAGTTGCTCAAAAATCAAGGCTATTCAAGACTTACTATATGACCCAGTAATCCCGCACCTGGGCATATATCCAGAAGGAACCCTACTTCAAAAAGACACCTGCACCCCAGTGTTCATAGCAGCACTATTTAGTGAAAAGTGAATACTTTTTTTAATCCCTAGGAGATTATAATGGTACCAGTGCGGCCTTTGACAAAGAAATGACTTGTGAACGCATGATGCAGTTGGAAGTCTAAAAGCAAAGCTATTGGAATGATCCTGATTAGACGGTAAGAGGATTAGAGACGTGTAAATAACTCAATCGTCAATAGCCACACACCGAGATTACTGTTAACAGTGAAGATGTGTAGCCACTCGGGGGAGTATTCTCTATTCGATCTTTCTTTCCAGGTTGGATTTTGTTCTTTCCTTTTATATGCCAGCATCTGAATCCTAAATTTCATTCTAGCAGGGGAACAGAGATAAGGATGCAGATTCTCTCTGTAAACCTGATGAATCTAGGAGCTGGAGGAAAGGACTCAAGGCTGAAGGAGGCTGTAGAAAAAAGCTTTTGCTCCCAGCACCCTGTTGCCCGTCTATGCCTTTCACTTAGTCATTCACAGATGTCTGTGTTCAGGCCCTGTGTTGGGGCTGCAAGAGTCAACAGACAAAAAGGGGTTTCTTCCCCTCATGGGTTGCCATTCCTCTGAGGTGCCAAGATTTAAACAACTAACCGCATGAACCAAAGCCTGACACCAAACATAATAAAGGAAAAGATTAGCGTGACGAGAGGGCATAACAAAGTTACTTTACTCTGGGTGATCAAGGAGAACTGTCCTGAAAAGGTATATTTCTGCCAAGATAAAAGGATGAGTAGAAGTGAGTCAACAAATTAGGGAGAGAGCTTTCCAGGCAGAAGGCATTTGACATCATCCAGGAACTTTGAAAGAAAGGTCATGAGACTCTAGTGGAGTGAAGAAGAGGGAAAGGGGCATGCCTACAGAGGAAAGGAAGGAAGTAGCCAGGTTCTGCTGTCTTTGTAAGTCTTGCTGAGGATTCTGTGTTTCTGTTCAAATGGAAAAGAGGTAAGGAAATGCTGCAAGACGGGACTTACAGTCCATATGGGCACTCAGCTTCCCTGAGGGGAGTGGCCTGTAGAGAAGAAAAAAGAGACAAATTAGGGAGTTATGACAATACTTCAGGCAAGAGATGATGATGGCTTGGATCAAGGGGGTGGTAGTGGGCACAGAAAGACGTGGTGGACTGCAAATTTATTTTGGCGTTTGAATGGATAGCACTTGATGGGCTAAACATGGAAGGTGAGGGAAAGGTTTCAAGGATGACACAGCTGCTCTGACATAGATCACATTCATCTAAAGCTGGGGTTTTATCAGATCATGCAATCAAAGGAGAGTTGGATTAGTGATGAAAATGATGAATCAGTTATGGACTGCAGGCTGAATAAGAATATAAAGACAGATGGGGCAGATAGCTAGAGAGAGAGGAGAGTTGTTGGTGGATGAGAGGTCTCCACGAGGTGGAAGATCTACTGTAAGGATGTCGGTCCCTGATCAAGAAACCAGCAGAAGAGGTGATAACCAGAAGGTAGAATGTTTGAATTAGCAATTCAGTATTGCTTCTCCACACCCCACATCCTCAAAACAAGAAGCAAAAGCTTCTGGATGCCATGAAGGTTTCTGGGTGGTGTCTACCACTAACATGAGACAGCGGCATAGAGTGCAGAGAGGATTTGAGCAGCAGAAGCACTTAACTGAAAGAGAGGATAAATTAATTAACTCCTGAAATCCTTTCCACTTGGCATTAATGCAATAGATACTTGCAAGACAAAGTATCATTTCCCAGTTGTGCCAAGTGTCCATTTTCGTGTTCTAATTCATGGTCTTAGAGCTACTCACTGTGTTAAAGCAATCTG